AGCAGGCTGCTGCTGGTGGGTCGATGCACTCGCGTCGACCCGAGACTTTGAAGATTGACATCTCCAAGTATAGAGGGGTCGAAGAGGACTCCCTCTTGAGATGGTTCGTCGAATTGGATGACGCCATAAGGGCGCGTCGCATCGACGACGTGGGTATGCAAGTTGCATTTGCCCAGTCAAATCTGGACGTGCCAAGACTTGGGCACTGGGGCTCAGGTTGCACGACCCATATGCGTTTGGGTCGTTGGAAGTCTTTAAGTCGCGGCTCAGACAAACGTTTGAACCGCCTAGAGCTGAGTTCAGAGCTCGAACCGAACTCTTGAAGCTCAAGCAGGGTAAGCGTGATGTGCACGCTTACACACAACATGTACGACATCTCACGAGTTGTATAAGTTCCAATCCGGTGGATGAACACACGTTGGTTTTGGTGTTCATGCAGGGTCTTGCGGATGGTCCCGTCAAGACTCACCTGTTCCGGCTTGAACTAGATTCACTAGAACAAGCCATTTCCATTGCGGAGCAGGAAGACTTCAGTCTGAGACAGGCTCGCGCCAGCTCGACATCATATCGTCAACCGAGACGATATGACAACGGAGGTCCAGAGCCGATGGAACTCTGTTATGTAGAGAGCAAGAAGGCTCGCTCTACAGACTACAAGAAGTTGCAGAGATGCAACAGATGTCAAAAGACAGAACACTACGCTTACGATTGTAGTGCCCTTCGTCCAGTGTTTCGCGACACTGGGCGTAGTGACCGTCCACCCATGAGAAAGGGGCGGGACGCGGGTCCGCTGTTGGTGCAAAGACGCAACAACGGGATGGACCGTCAAAAAACGGACAGGATCAGTAGGTGCGGAGCACCCTACTGATCCAGAAACGTCAAGAGAATTTGTAGGCCTCTTGATGAAGGTTGCTCCCAACACACAAATATTGTGCGTTGCTGCTCTAGGCAGTGAGATCTCACTCATTACCTTAAAACTCAACGTGACGAATAAGTTGTCCCTTCGAGCTCTAGTCGATTGTGAGGCGTCCAACAATCTTGTGCAACGCCAATCTCTAGAAGATGGTCACTTCAAGTTCAGTGAATGTGACACACCTCCTACGAGGATGACGGTACGTCTTGCAACAGGCGCATCCGTAACCGTCATGAAGCGTATAGTGAAGATCCACTATACGCTAGAAGCTACCCAATATGACGATGACTTTATCGTATTGGATTTGGATGACAAATTTGATGTCATCCTTGGAATACCGTGGCTCAGAAGGTACGAACCACGAGTAAACTGGCAACATCGAACAGTAACGATGCTTGCCGCTTGTTCATAAGATGGCCATCTGATGGACGTTTTGGAGCGTCCACAAGCGTGTGGATGTACTACGAGTGAGTGCGATGGCCTCACTTGTGGTACGGTCGTTAGTACGACTGCACAAAACCTTAGTGTAGCAATCAGTCACACTTCGGAGCAAAGTTCCGGCGGCTGTGAGGAAACACAGGCTGCGCCGAAGGTCCACCACTCGAATAAGTCGGGTGGACTGGGACAAAGATGTATCCCTAGCGGGGAACATCTAGAAGAGAAACAATCGATCGCTCAGGTTAAGCGAAACGATAATCCTAGATCGACTGGAGAGTCTTTCGTAGAGGATATCGCTGTGGTTGCGCAACCCCAGCTAGAGGAAGTAAGGGGAATAAGTCCCAAGATTACAAATACGGCGGAAATAAGTTCCCCGGGAAGCCGAAGGAATAAGTCCTTCGAAGCCTGAGGGAATAAGTCCCCAGGAAATGACAGAGACATTAAATGTCATAGTCAATAACGGATCAAGTGTAGGCGCTTATACACTTGATCTGATTGCGCCTCCGAAGTTGACTTCGGAGATCACTCAGTTGCCAACGCTCGAACATAAAAGGTTCTTGCGTGATCTGCGTAGTGGCAAAGTCAAGCAGATCTGCGTACTCGTCGCTGACGACGAGTGTGTAGCCGACATAAGGTCAGCAACAGTGTTTACTGAGAACGAGAGAGTTCTCAGTAGTTCATCTATGGACGAGAGTGTCCTAGATGAAAAGACACGAGCTGAGCGATGTGACTCCCAATCGTGGGAATCGCTCAAGACAAATCCTCTCTATGAAGATTTGGTTGAATTCGAGGCTGCATTCCCTGAAACTGTTCCGTGCGAATTACCGAAGGATAAAGGTATTCGACACGAAGTCGAGCTTAAACCAGGCTCGAAGTACTGTGTCATGAAGCAGTGGCCACTGCCTCGTGAACAAGTACTTGCGATCGACAAGTTCTTTGCCGATCGTTTAGCTGCGGGCCATGTGAGGGAATCAACTTCCCCACATAGCTATCCGACCATCTGCGTGCGAAAAGCAACAGGAGGGTGGCCGATAGTGCAGGCATTTAACAAGTTGAATGCTGCAACGGTACCGGCTCAGACGCCGATACCGAGGAAGGACGTAATCATTGATGGTATGTCAAAGAGTACCATCTTTTCGTCCATGGATTTGATGGATGGCTTCTATCAAATCCTTATGCGAGAACGGGATATACCCTATACCGCAGTTAGCACGCCTAGCGGCATGCTCTGGGAATGGCTAGTAATGCCACAAGGGCTCAGTAATGCCCCTGCCACGTTCAACAGATGTGTATCACATCTGTTGAGACCAGTACGAGAATTCGCGCCGAGTTATTTCGATGACGTATTCATCCATAGTCGAGCTATGGATGGAATGTCGGACGTTGAGGCTCACAGTTACCACGTCCGACAGGTTCTTACAATCATGCGAAAGCATCAATTGTATGCTAACCTCAAGAAGTGTATATTCGCAGCAAGCGAAAAAACCACTTCTTGGGTGCATCGTTGGTAAGAACGGTGTGCGTCCTGATCCGAAAAGATCAAGGCGATCACCGACTGGCCTGTGCCGGTTGATGTCAAAGGTCTTCGAAAATTCTTTGGGCTAGCGGCGTGTTTGCATAAGTATTCACGCAATTACGCCGAGATGACTGTGCACCTCTCTCGTTTGTTGAAAAAGAGCGAGAGGTGGTTATGGAACGCTGAATATTGGCGCTCCTTTGAGGGTATCAAGCAGAGCTTGATACAATCCCCAGTCCTAGCAATAGCCGATCAGGACAGGCCATTTCATGTGGTCTGTGATGCCAGCGATTTCGCAATCGGCTGTGCATTAATGCAGTACAACCTAGAAGGAGTTGAACGCGTCGTCTGCTATCAGTCGCGTCAGCTGCAACCAGTTGAGCGGAACTATCCAGTGCATGACAAGGAACTCATTGCCATGAAGTATGCACTCGCGAAGTTCAGAGTCTATCTATTAGGAGATAGACCCTTCATTGTTTACACTGACCATGCGTCATTACGCACGGCAGTGACCAGTCCGCACCTTTCGCAACGAATGGCGCGGTGGCTGTCATTCTTTGCAGAGTACAAACCAGGACGAATTAATGTCGTCGCTGATGCACTCTCACGTCGTCCCGACTTTGAACCAGTCGTGAAACCCAACATTGGGACAGCCACTGTTGCGGTTATGACGTCCACAATACCATCTTCAACGTTACATGATGATGTGAGGCGGTCGTATGCCCAAGATGGTGAGATTGTAAGGTTTTTGATACATCTCTCACAATCATCTCGAGAATCGTTGAAACGATTATCGTCTGCGTATCGATCTGCATCAGATCGATACACTACTCGCAACGGTTTACTGCATCATACAGCCGTTACTGGTGACACACCACGTGTTGTCATTCCAGATGATACTGATCTGCGTTTGCGGATCATGTTCGAGTATCACGATGCCCCTATGGGAGGACATCGTGGCCGAGAGAAAACATATCTCACCGTGAGTCGAGACTTTTACTGGCCCCGCCAGTATCAGTTTGTGCGAAAGTACGTTCGCGCATGCGAAGTCTGTCAACGAGTGAAGTCAAGTACTTCACTACGTGCACCATTACAGCCTCTACCGGTTCCGGCAGAGTGCTGGGAATCCATCTCCATGGATTTCGTCTTCGGGTTACCCAAAGACGCACGCAGGAATACGGGTATTCTCGTATTTGTCGACAGATTCAGCAAAATGGTACGCCTTGTGGCTGTACCAGAGTCAATCACGGCAAGTGGCTGTGCTTGTGTTTTATCGACTCCATCTTCCAACTTCATGGGTTACCCCGTGAACTCGTATCAGACAGAGATCCACGATTCACTGCTGATTTCTGGCGTTCCGTGTTCAAATCACTCGGAACGCGCTTGAAGATGTCGACATCTGATCATCTAAAGTCAGATGGTCAGACGGAACGTGCCAATCGTGTCCTTGAAGAGATACTTCGACGATACGTACACTCCTTTAAGAGTTGGAGTGAGTTTTTGTCAATGGTAGAGTTTGCGATTGACAACTCGGTGCATGCGTCCACGACACGTACACCGTTTTACGAGAATGGCTTGCGCCATCCGTGTGTACCCACCTTACTCGATTGTAACTTTGGCTTATGGGGGGAGGGACTCGCGCGAGCAAAAACCGAATTGGTTCACGCTCATCACGCTCTGACGAAGAGGTCATTGCGTTTGATGCCGATATCGATAACATCGATATCGAAGAAGATGATGCCAGTGAGAGTGCGGAAGCCCTCACTGAAGAAAAGGTTAATGTTGCTGCAGTGCACTCACAGCGCACTGAAGCTAACGAGTCATCAGATGAGTTCATACTGGCTCGTGAAACGGTAGTCCGTTTTGTGCAAGATTCCATCGCCGAAGCGGTGGACAAGCAAAAGCAAAACGCTGACAAGAATGGAAGGGCAAATACACTTTCATTTAATAAAGGTGACTTAGTCCTACTGTCTACGTTTAATCTACCAAAGCATGTAGTGACTAACTTGGGTAGCAGTAAACTACTACCCAAGTACATCGGCCCATTTCGTGTTTTGCACCGCCTAGGCAATGCATACACGATCGAGTTGCCACGTAAGATGCGAACGCATCCCACGTTTTACGTTGGTCGGCTTAAGCCGTACCATCAGTACGCTGCTTCTTCCGATGAAGAACGCCCTTGCGCTTCAGCATCTTGCAGAGAGCCTTGTGCTCCCGATGGTGGGCATCAACAAGGGTCTGAAGAGCAGTTATCTCAGCCCGAGACCGATCAACAATCCCACGAGCTACCCTTAGCTCGTCACGCAGAGACGTCAGAGCTCTCTCGTTCTCAAGCTGAGCTAAGGCAAACTCAGCTCGATGCTTCAAGACAGTGTCCGCCAGTCGGAGACGCCTGTCCCGCTCATGTTCGAGATCGCCGCGTAACCCTTGCGTTACGCGATCAAAGAAGCTCTCGGGAACTCACGCTTCCCCACGATTGGGTGGAGATCGTCCTCCTCCTCCTCCACCTCCATTGGAGGACTCTCGCGGTGGCCAGTGCTATCTGGTTGAGCAGATGTTGAACCACCGCGACGTGAAAGGACGTCGGACGAGTTATCTCGTCCGGTGGCGCGGCTATCCCCCGTCCTGGGATTCTTGGGAGCTCCGCTCCCAACTGATGATCGACGCACTGAGTCTGGTTGAGCAGTACGATGCGGCACATCCTGTGCTGCAGAAGGACCGCCGGAGAAAGTCTTCCCGGCACGGTCGTAGAGGGATTTCAAGTTGTCAATCCCTTCGTACATCTCAATAGAGATGCGTACGCGCCACCACGGGCTATTAGGGAGGTAAGCCCGTTTAGTTGCTCGTGCAGAGTTGTTCACACAACATGGGCACGAGTCTCCCCATGAGAGGCAGGGTAATCCTTTCTCCCTTGACAGACAGACGATGCAGCTTGTAGCGTGCACCTGTCGGGGTTCGCTTTTCAAACTTATCACGAGCTTTGATGAGTTTGTCGTTCCAAAAGTCATGACCTACATCCTCGAGGTTATGGATGTAGGCGTTCCACGCCTGAAGCAGTGAGGGACCATCACGTTTGTGATTCCCACTGTACCATCGATGTTTGAAGAAAGCATCGATGAAGAAATCATTCTCAGCACAACAGTCTTTCGCACTGGGGTCACGGTGATGGATTCTTGACGAATCGAACAACCGTGTTCGATAACGATCACTCGTCGTCGCCGACAAGTGATCCATGACGGATTTCGGAGGCATCCATGCCTTCTTTTCAGGAGCGAGACGCAAGACATTGCGGTCCCGCTCTTCCTGCGATGTGCCGACAGAAGGACTGGCACCTCGTTGCGAAGTGGTGTCCATAGAAGAACCGACACCACTGTTAGCGCCCGAGTCTCGCGACCTCGAGCGCATTCGCTTCGGCGATGGTTCATCTGATTCATCAGATGAACCGAAGATGCTGCGACGCAAAGCATCGTCCATTCCACGCTTGGCAGGCGGCTTAGATTCAATCGCCGTCGATACGGATCCGTCCTCCGTATCAGGAGAGTACGAGACACCGAGCTCATACTCTGTGAAGACATGAGTGTCTTCATGACCAGCGCCTGCATCACCAGGTGACACAGGCTGAGTCGCTTCAGCAACCGATGAGACATCAGTTGCTGTGGTTTCTGCTTCGGCGTCCGCACAGAGACGTGCGGACGCGCTCTCGGCGGCCTTGATCGCGCATCGCATGGGCTTGTTAACCATGCGATGAGATGTTGGAAAGTGGACTCGGACCAACAAGTGCAAACCCTGTCCCAAATGATTTGGGACGAGTATCCATTTAGTCAATCAGTCACTAAAGTGACTGATGGTCAAGGGGGGGGTGATGTAACGGGGTGAATCGTTACATGACAATTTATTAGAAATTGTTAATAGAATATAACTATAAGAGGTATATTCTCAGAATTTTGTCATAAGGACAGATATTCTGTAGCACTTACGAGTAGTTCCTAATTGGTTGATATAGGCCATTATATCAATTAACGAAGACGCGCCACGACAGACGCACGCAATGAGTGGTGAGCAGATAGTTGATTTACACATTTGTATTCAGACGTAGTTAGATGAGGATAAACAGTGATATATTAACAGACATTAACTTTGCTAGATACAGTTCTACTTTTTACTTTAACCAAGTACTCGCTTCTTCTTACCGTCTTCCTCTGCACGTACGAGTGTACGTGAAGTTACGAGGAACCGCCTTATTCTGTCATCAGAATAAGTAGCTTGTACTGTCACCAGTACAAGCTTCAGGGTGCCCCGTTACACCTTGCGTGCATACGACACGCCATTCTTGTCCTTCGTCAAATTTACGACACGCGCGGATTCAGCAGACAGTTTCAAAAAGATCTTGCCAGGGTTGGACAACTTGCCGGACGATCTCGTTCTAGACCGCAGAGCACCTAGCATAATCAAACGAAGTTTTTCCAACTCCCACTTCTCTGTCCACACCTGCTCGATCTTTTTTATGATTTACGAGTCACAAGGCGGGCACAAATGTGCTGAATTCTTGGGGAGCTTATGAATCATTTCGTTGAGCTGTTTTAACGCACTTGTTGTTCTGGACTCTCGTTGTGGCCACCACAGTTTTCCATGAATAGCACCCGCTGATGAAAATTGCTACCTGTGTAGATTAACCAACGCTCATTAGAATACTGGACCATAACTTACTTGTCCGTCCATCCTTGGTTCCGGTCCGATAAGCCACGCCTGGAAGATCTTCTGGTAGGCCACGAATATGATAATTTCGAGATTCGTTTTGTAAAATCACAAACGCTGGCTCAAGTCTTTCAGTTTTTTGCCACGAATTCGGAACACCATAGTCATTACAACACCTGATGCACCAGCAGCATGTGTCACGTTTTCGTCGCTGCGAAAACCCAGAGTCTTACCATTGTTAATATTGAGGATAAATTGAGTTTTGTCGAGACTCTTAACAAAGGCATCGTCCATTTTTCCACATTAAAATCACGTACAACTTGGCTAAGATGGTAGTAAAATAATTTTCCATATGGAGCTGAGTAGCTGGGCGTGTCATAAGTTTGCCAGTCTGGGTGCAGATGAAGATGTTTTGTACTCTTTAATGGCTAGATCCATCTTGGTTTGATGCGCTCGTCGAGAATATTTCCATTGATCAGATCGCGAAGGCTAAATGATATCATTTTATGACGTCCTAAGAATATTTAAACCACGATTGGCACCACCATTGAACAAAACTCTAACTCAGCTTTGCAAAGTAGATCAAAATCGACCACTAATTCCGTAGATAGCCAAGTGATCCAAGGCTGGCGTTTACAACCCCGACCATCCATTGCCTTCTTCTCCAAGCGACGGCGAGGTCCATGTAGACACACACTGGTAAAATTGTCTTGGTTGTACCACTTATGTTACGCTTGCTCGACAAACTAGCGGTGATCGTGTCTCTATCCTTCCGCCAACATGATGCCTTCATTAAGTTCGCCTTTTGATCGCCTCCAAATTGGTCTGGGAAATTGCGGATCGTGCGCAACGTAATCTTGGCCCCCGTTCTGTTCTGCGTCGGCAATCATCCATTGAACGATGCGGTGTCGGTCATACAGAGTTTTGACTTGCTCTAGAGGCCGCTTTCCAGTCAGCTCTGACTCACCTTTTACAGTCGACTCAACACACGGTAAAGATTGCAGGACAGTGTGGTCGTCATCGTCGTCATCGCTTTCGTCAGATAGATGAACTCAAAATGCCGACAGAGAGTTCATTCGACACTGATTGTCGAAGGGCTTGCACGCGGAAGTGCTCTAAAGTCAAGTTACTTGCCGGGTTGGCATGACGCCGTAGCCACTCGATTAAATCCGAGCAAGACTTTCGATCGGTCCAGATTATTGTGCGTGCTTACACCAATTAAAATTCCTACATTAAATGTAAACCACGTTATATAAGGTTCCCCCTCAATATCTCGACACTCGGAATCAGTGTGGGCCACACTAACCACCGTAAACAGTGTAGTCTGGGACGTGAATCCATACTTGCGCAACGCGTTTATATGTAGCCGCATTTCCCATTGACCCGCGGTCGTCTGCGCATCGAAACGGGATCGTCAAGACTGCGATACTGAGGGTAATAGGCGTTCATGAAACTTGAATGCTTGCCCGGTGATCGCTCAGCACATGTGGCGCTATGAACTGACTTTGGCATACATCGAGAAATCGATGACGCATGAAGTGGTGAACAAATAACTGCCCGTGCCTATTTTGTTCTGTTAGTCGCTGAAATTGTTCACGAACGAGCCCCTCAACTCAAGCATGCCGAGTTGGCTATGTGTGTCGTAACGCAGGCTCGCCTGGTTTTGTTCCAATAGAAATGTGTGGAACACAAGCAGTATCGTGTTCGCCTATTATCGCAATACAACTGTCTGTCGCGAGCTCCACTTGGCGCCAGGTCGACGTATTTAGCCTGCCTCTCGTTACTGCTGTCAAAGAGGTCAGTTTGTGTCACCCTCTCGTATCCAGTGTGTAGCACTTTGGCCACCGAAAAGTGCGTGTCATTCTGAGATGATTCCGGCTTGACCATTACAGTAACTTCAAACCAAATCCAGCAACATATGTTGCGCTAATGTAAAGACTCTATCGTGCGCACCCGCGAGCGTACTGTAGCGCGTAATTATTGCACTAGGTACTTGGAAAACGAGACGTTTCACGCACTGTTACCCTTTCCAAATGGAATACCAGATGCACTACTTCGCGTCGTCCTGGAACGTATGTGTCGTGACGTACAAGCGGATGATTAATGAGAGCTGGTATCAATTTTTCTTCGGCTCTGCTGGGTTGCTTAGATGAGAAAAGGAACTTTGCACAAGTACCTAGCGGTGCGCAAAAGTCTTAGCAGGGCCCACCCTACCGTTCGCTTTATCGAAATCTAGCTTTACGAAAAGAGCGTAAAGACGACTCGAATCGACATCGTTATCAGGGTCGATAAAGAGTTGGTGTCTACCAAAAATCTATGCCGCTGTCAGGGCTTCGGCCGCTCTTTCTGGTGGCTTTACACGTGCAGCTGTAAAGGCTTCGACAGCTCCTTTTGGTGGCTTCACGCATACTGATGAGCGCTACAACACTAATCACTACCCGAGTCAAAGCAGGAGCGTACGTAGTCAATAACTGCATTGAATGCTTCAATTGCGGAAGCACGCACATCATAAGAACATCAGAATCACGGAGGAATACCAATCCAAAAAGATGTGGTCAAGTGCGACAACCGAACTCGCAACGAGTGCATTGTACCGCATACCGATCCTTCGACCGTTCTGCAGATCATTCTCGTGTATCACACTTTCGGGTGAGCCAATGTATCGACACTTTGGTTTTTCTCGTTGGATATGCGCTCGAGTTCGACTATTGTGTCAGCCAGACCCACCCACTCTCACGAGCTTCCACTTGCAAGATACAACACGTTTTAAGGCTTGTCTAACGTAACATGAGGATCGAAGAACCCCCCCAGTTGCTAGAAATCACGAACTATCAAGGGAGAAAATCAGACAATTAACAAAGAGTCACCACGATGTTCTTAGCGCCAGTTTCTTTCCAATCACGTTGAACGAGGATGTGTTACGTCTATACGGTCTGAAAAAATAAAAGACGCGGGACGCAGGTGCGCACGTACGAATATGTATCAGAGGGTCATGGTCAACAAACTGTACTAGGCGACTTCGATCATAATCGAAATGTGCTTACACGAACAGGGGGTCGATAAACTCCGTTTGCTCGCTTGACTGCGCAACGACATCGAGGTACTTTTTGTAGAAAGCAAAGGCTCTGGAGAGTCGAAATAGCAAGGTCCAAACAGCATTACATACGGTTGTATTGCTGGGCTCCAGGAAGGGAACACTCGATATAGGTTTACCTAAAGTCATTACTTGGTTGAAACCAGCGTAGATGAAATAAAGTGCTTGTTTTCTACTTTGCTGGCTGACCATCAAATTCAGGTTTCTGCAGGTTGCTTTTTGCTAAAAACAATTACAAATCATACCGGTACTTTGCCGGCTTCTGACCATTCCACTACTCACTTCACTTCGTCAACTTCCCTCTCTCTGCTTGTACAAGTCTTTCTCCTCTCAGAGCAGAGATTGCGTCACTGTCTCTACGCCCCCGGCTGTTGCTGCAGCTTACACCACGCTTCTCTGCGCCACACAGCACGTGCGCTCGATTACTTAGCTGGACGATCGGTGACGATTTCCTTACACGACGAAGAGCGGCTGTTGTAACGCGTGCAAGCAGCGTTGGACGCTGTCGCTCATTTTGATTGCCAGAAAAATGGTCGGTAACTGCTACCTTCCTCTATAATGAGTATACTGCCCACTAGCAGTAGCCAGTAGTACGGGTCTACTACATATGCGCTAATGTAGTACGGGATCTGCTACCTATGCGAGACTGTCATGGTCTGAGCAGAGAGTGCGATTGTCGTGTCTTTTTTGTGCTCTTATTAACTTGCTCTGTCGTTTATGGTGCCGCTGTTGTTCGTTACGCTTTCAATAGGTCAAGGATCGCTATACTCAACGGTTTCCACTAGGGACACGCGTGATCAAACATTTTACCGGGTATCGCAACCCTTTTGAGGGCTCGGTGGACCACCACTCGGACCAGACAGATTTCTACCACGTATCGTACGACGACGGCGACAGCGAAGAGATGACGGAAGATGACGTTGAGATGCACCTCCTCTGCGTGCCTAAGCCTCAAACGCTGCTTAAGCCACAGAAGACATTTTTGCGAGGTAAGACTTACACAGCAAGGAAGCTATGCTCGCCGTCTGCTAAGGTTGAAAGGGGCAGTGCCGATAGCACGCCAGTAGCAGCTGCAATCGTGCCATCTGTCACGAATTTAGACGGAAATAAGAGACAAACAGTGCTGAGTCTCAATGCAAACGCACCGGGATTGTTGGGTAGCAGCGGTAACAGTGGTTCTTCTAGCTCCTGTGCAGTGGCGAGTGAGCCACCGCTGACCGTGTGTATTCCAGCTTACTCTCTTAAAGAAGCCAAGGAAGATGAAGTGGTCGAAAATGATGATATGGTAAATGGAGAGAATGAGGAGGAAGAAGATGAGGTGGTCAATAGCGAAGACGAGGAGGAAGAAGATGATGCATTACTGGAAGGCACCCCAGAACAAATTAACCTGCTTATTGGCAAGCCCGTCACGAGAACGGTCGTGAAGGAAGGATGCGGCGATGTTTTAGAGGGTACCGTAGCAAGTTATTTTCCAGCTACAAAGATGTTTCGCGTGATGTATTTCGACGGGGAATGCTGTGACCTTTCTTATCAGCAACTACTCGACATTATCCCGGCAGATTCGCGTCCGATTAGGAGCAGTGGAATGAAAAAGCGAAAGATAGAAAAGAAGTCTTGGAAGATGGAGAAAAAGATGCGGTTCAGTGCTTCATCGTCGTCTCCAAAGTGGCCTCAGACTCTGGACTTAATTGCTCCATCATCCGCCACGAAAGTCGCAGGACGGACAAAGCAGAGTTTCACGGTATATTCTCCGTCATGTGATGCACAGTCGCCTTTGACTCCAGTCGTTCGTGAGACAGATATGATGAAAGTGGACAACGTTGAGTACAACATTGTTCGCAAAGTGCTGTTTATCATCGTAAGCACCGTGAGCAACGTGATGATGGAGGTGCAGCTTGAAGTTCTTTCATCTGCAGATTTAAAGGTATGTTACGAACTACTCTGGCTAAAAAGTGTCTGCGGCACACGATTGTGTCGTGCGTTGTCGCGCTAAGTTGACCGTCCCCCTTTATGTCATTTAGGATAAAGAGGCGCTGGAGGTGTTTGTCCAGAAAGGTGGACTGATTTCCTTGATCGAACTTTTGTCCAAATGGGAAGGCCAAGAGGAGACGCAGCAAGGGGTACTGCTTATTCTAAAGGTAAGCGTCAAGATAGAAGAGGCTGGTAGGGTGTTGCAACTCCTGATGTATGATGCACTCTATGACAGGCTCTTGCAGTATTGCCTGGTGTGACGAAAGATGTGATCATGGACAGTAGGATTGGTAAGAAAGTGCGGGGAATTGAAAAAAGTCAATTTTACAGAGATCCTACGATACCTAGCCTTGCCACATGGGTGATTCAGAAGCTGAAAGCTGATGTCGTAGCTCAACAAGCGGGCCAAGGTCTGAGTCCAAGTGTCAACAGCGAGGCCGAGCGCAACCAAAACGACTACTCACGAAATTCAGGTCCAAAACCAGGATCGTTCAGTTTGCGTAGCGACGGGAGACAAGATGATTGCCCAGTCTCGGCAAAATCGGCAGTCAGTCCGCGACCGCAAGACACAACGCGTAGCAAAGGAAATCCGCTATCTCAGTCGAATGGTGGCAGCAAGCAGTCCAAGTCAGCAAGTCATTTGCTGGACCTGATGAGTATGTCTGCTTCTTTGCCCATTTGTTCATTAATGGCTAGCTTGCTGATTTGTGAGTTTGTTTTGTGCTGTGAAAAGACTCGCGTAATGGTCGAGACACAAGCAGCAGCTGCCGTGACCGAGACATTTTTGGGAATATTGTAGGTCCTCGTAAGCCGGGCAAGCTGGGGACGGCAAGAAATTGGCGAGCCCGGCGTTCTACAGTGGTGTTGGATCAGGTAAGCAAGCGCCTGAATGAAAATGTTCAAGAAATCGACATTGTGAAGACCAAAAAGGTCGAAAACGACGATTGGAAACCGTCGAGAATATCGTTTGCGCTGAACGATTCAGTGTGCGCATTCGACAAGGAAGTTGCAGTGTCGAAACTACTGGTCTTCCGTCCGTACGGTTCGACGAAGGCACCAGAACGGGTGTCCATAAAGCGTCACTCAGGCCCATTACGATCAATCCTCCGTGCTGGGCGATCTCCTCGCACAACGCCAGAAAATATGGCACAGGTCGTTGAAAACAACTCTGCTCCGCCTACGGTTAACTCAGGTGCTTACACTGCAGTGGATCTCAATGGGGTCTCTCATGAATCGAGTAATGCAGCGTCGAAAGCCGGTCCGTTTGAATCGTTCGCGTTTCATACGTCGAGGCTGCTCAACGTCGTGAGCCCAACTGAGAAAAGGAGGACAGACTTCTCTCCTCCTCCGAGCGTTCCAAGTTCGGAGCAAACACCACTGGATCTTACTGGTGAAGCCGACGATGGCTCGATTTACGCAAGTTGCAATAGCAGTAAAAAAGTCGGTTCGCCGCGAAAACGACCCCAGGAACCCAAACCAGCGAAAGCAGTAACAATGCATGTCCCAGGTATGTCTCCCATCGTATCGGACGATGACATATCCGAGAATGAGAAGCAATCTGGGGCCAACAGCGCTGCAAAGTCTGACGTCGCAGGCTCTTCTACTGGGTCCGAATGTGGCGTGGCTGCCGGCATCGAGTCGTCATATGTTCAGCAAACAGCTACTATTCCAACACGCACATGTAGTGATATAATGCAACATAATTGAGTACGTGCACGCTAATCTTGTCTTCGCAAAGCCACCCATGACGTCTGCTGCTCCTGTGTGAGGTTTAGTGAGCAGCAAGCAATCTCATATTCTTCGAATGGTTGAGCTCTGCATGCGTTACTAAGTTGTAAACCAATGTAAACGCTTCGCAGCGCTCGTAGCCATCAAATAGCGGTAGGCCACCAGCAAATGTAAAGGCTCACTTTACTAACATTTACACTGCATGTGCTATCGCCTCGAGATGGCCAGAATTCGCAGGTCAGCGATAGCACACCACGGATGGGGCCGGACTACAAAAGATTTAATCTTTCTAATATCACAGTCTGCCTGTGCGCATCATTCATGGCCAAACTGTTCACGAAGCGACAGTTTGTTAGCATAATTGGTAGTCCTTCCACCGAGCTCGATTCAAAAAAAATTCAGCAGCAAACTGAAGTCCATACCTTTTCACTGACAAGCATTGGCCTTTGAACAAAAGACACTGCCAGCGTTGACGGCGCCACACACAGAGAGTTTATTGAGATCGTGCTGAGTCGAGGAAAGTTGTCGCCTGCCTCGGAAAGCAACAACACTTGGCGCATCTACACACGGTGCGGCCACAGTGCAAAGGGGTTACACGCAGTTGGGTACCTGGTACCTTGTGTCTTAGACACACAGATGATATCCCAATGAAAGAGATCTAGAATATCTTATTAGTTTATAGGGGCTGACTGGTGTCAGCCACCACATAGGAGGAGAGATCATAGTTGTTCTAACTTCGGACGTTAGTGCCTAGATTAGAATTAAGATATTTTGTAGAGTCAAGTGTAAATAAAATTCAGTTCCCCTTTTGATCTTAAAGACACGCGCCTTGCGAAGCGTCTTTGGTCGTTCATCACTGATCACTAAGAGTTGGCAACACCTCCTTGAGGTATCTAGTTACTCTTGAGCACTAAGTGCTGTCGATTCATTGAATCGTTTGGTCCCCCTGGAACAAGGACCAAACGGTTTACGCTTGTTGACTCATTGAGTCTAGTTCCTTAGCACTAAGTTGCTCGCTGAGCGAAAAGCCTTCCTCTGACTTAAGGAGCTGTGTGGCTCCTCTACACACAGACTAGAATGAACCAGAACAGCTTTTTTGGCAGTGTGACGGCGTCACGCGACAGTTACCGCCCTAAAAAGAAAATATCTTGCAAATGTGATTTACAATCCCACGTTGTGTCTGTGATAATTGATGTAGTTGATAACCTCAGCCATTAAGTTAATGGCGAATTGATGTACCATTCATCAATCTGTAGTGGACTTAAACATTACTATGCAAATTTGTATTAATCTTAGTATATAGGTAGTTAAATGAGGTCTGACTACAGATAAACGAAGAAATGAAAGTTCAGTTCCCCTTTTGATCTTCGGTTGACACGTGTCTATTTAAGACGTCAGTAGATCGTTAAGTGTGAGAGCCATCTTGTGGGCGTATACTTTAGAGCGCATTGTGGGAAAGATTTCTAAAAGTCGTTGTTAGTCCCCTGAACCAGGACTAAGAAGCTCTACAAGCTTTAATACTCTCCGAGTCTTTGATCATTGATATCAGTTGCTTGATACTCAATTAACTAATAGGAACTTAGTCCATCGATCAATACTTAGTCCATAGATCTAAGTGATTTTCTGGAGTCGTACGTTGTTCTCTGACTAAGAGCTGTGTAGCCCCACTACACTTAGTATAACTTGTAGCCACTAATAAAACCGTATTAGCAAATCGACTAAACCTCTGTTAAGATGGAAAGCATGAGCCCTTTTCTCTTTCAGGCTCAACATGCAGCGGAACTGCCCTTACTACTTTGTCAGAGGAAGACTTCTAGACTCGTAGAGTCTCTCAGTATATCAGAACGAACAAGGGTATTAACTTAAAGGGTTTTAAGTCTTTACAGGCTTGGTGAGGCTCAACCCCGAGTGTATGTACAAGCTCTTAAGCTTCTAGGCCTGGTTCAGGGGACTACGACTCCTAGGAATTCACGTGGTACTAATTCTCAAGAGCACTTACTTAACTCATTCACTTAGCTCTTACGACCAGAGACACCTTAGAAAGACACGTGTCTTAGACTGATCAGAGACGTCTTAGAAATACACGTGTCTGAACCTGTTAAAAAGGGGATTTGACTATACGTTCTGACTCATAGCGACAATGAACCTTACTTACATCTTCGACCATAAAAATTTGCTACCTAATCGAACAGTCCCCATCGTAGTTCTCCTTGTGTGCCACGCCCAACCTACTTCGCCTCTATGAAGATCCTATTACGATAGATGTCTTCTAACCGTAACCGATGACGGTACGGTTTTATCGCTTATTGAATATGATGCTATAAAAGTATGCGTAATCAGATGGTACATGGATCTCTGTCTGTGTGTACCACACCAATGTACCTAGTCACCACAACCATTGAGTAACCTTGCTACACTATCATTTATGAAACAGTCGATACCTCGAATCGATATTCGTCACCTTTTTCGTTGAGGTAGCTCAAGGAATACAGATAATTTCAAGGTTGTGCTCACGAAATCTTGCCCATTAATAGCGAAGTCTGTCGCATTCGTCCGAGTCTTTGGAAGACATCGTACGAGAAGAGAGTATTGTTGATTCTGATAGTGACACTGTCATGGAATAGGGTGAAAACATCGAAACTGCCAAGTCAGCGTCGTGCGAACCTTCACGCATAGCGCCAAACCCATTTTATAAACGAAGCACAGATCAACCGCTAACAGCATTGCATACCTCAACCACTCCTGATGAGCGTGTCATCACCAACAAGCTCGATGAGCAAACGAGATGCTATATCGAAAAAAAAGGAAAGAGACAGACGTCTGTCTCAAACGAAAGCTATTGTTGAAGCGCATTTGGACTATCGCTTCAAGCCTTTGAGAGTTGATGAGTTGTTTGCAAAATTTCGTAGGACACTCCTCGAAAACTTGGTCCATAGAGCGCGAGACTACGATGTCTGACAACATTTTGCCGAACATGATTCTTTAATGGAGAAAAACTTGACGCTCGAAGCGACGACGATCTCCGAATACCAAATAGATGTGACTGAGCAAGCAAGTGGTTCATCTGTACCGACGCGTAGAACGATCCCGTTAGTTCTATAACCAGTCGAGAGCGAGGCCGAGGATGACAGCACTCGTTAGACAAATAGGGTACATCGGTTGCCCAGCATGAATGGCCTTCGAGCTAGTGCCTCTAAGGCTGACCAACGGCCAGAGCGCAAGCTGCACTACGAGTTTGCTTAAACTAAAGAACAGCTCTTTTTTCTGCATTGCAACCAGTAGGTAAAACTAATTTCTGAAATTAACCACCACTGTTTCGACAGTCGCGGGTGACTATGTATTGAAGAGAGATCCGTACATTCCACACCTATTGGTGGAAGAGCATTGTGGGTCAAGCTGACCCGCAGTGCGACGCCTAACAAACGTCAACGGCGTACGGGAAATCGTGACGAAGGGGTACCTTTAATTCTTGTAATTTCTCATACTCAAGGTATCCGCGCCACTTCACCATAAACTGGTATCGACATTTGTGACGACGCTGCTTCAGAAGCTTCTGCACATGGAGCTGCAAGTTCTCTTGCTATTCGAGCAAGGAAAGAGGGGGTCGGTTAGTCGGTTTAGGTGCATGAAGCCTAGACGTCAGAGGTAGCACAACTTATTAAGTCTTTAGCTCACGTGCAGACTGCACTGAATCGGTCTGTGACTGAGAGGAAACAACTCTGGGAGATCCTCGACCAAGTGAACCACGCTCGTGAACAGTCATCGACTGAGTTGGCTCTGTTGCGTGAGCAGATAAAACGTCTCGGTTCGATCGGTCAAAAAAACGACTGGAAAGGTGGAGTGCAACCTGCCTCGACTAGATGGCCAGGTGGAGCTCTTGAAAAAGATGCCTTTGACGGGCAGAAAGGCGTCCCTACTTCAGGCGCAAGCTGCCTATACGGTCCACGAGAGACGGATCATGATATGGCATCAAACAAGCTGATCTAAAACAAGGGATCTGTGCATAAATTGCGTGGAAGATTAATTGTAGAGGCGATGTCCTTCTTCTCTGTGACCGTAAACGTCCCAATAAAGCGTGGACGCAACTTTGTCTAGAAGACGGTTGACACTTCATTGGTAGGTAGGTCTTCTATGACTTTTATTATGACTTGGTCTCCAACATCATACGAATTAGCATACATCCTCTGTCCTTAAAAATCATATTTTTCTTTTTGTTGGTCACGGTTGTCATCTATTGCACCACGCACGCGTACAAAGACACTAAAGCATGTCGCGAGAAACTCGCTCACTTGTTTCTGCATCGTGTTAGGGATGACTTCAGTGAGCTTGTCAGCAGAATCTCCCCCACCACGCCCAGAATCACGTAGTGGTAACGTGAGCTGAACGCGGAGCTGCTTGAGACTATTCACATAAAAGGTTGTAGAGCCGGTAGAGACATGAACAGCGTTGTCCAACTCAAATGTCAGGGAGCATCTAGCTCCAAATCTTAAGCGATTCAGCACGTGTACTGTAAAAAAATCGCCAATGACGCGATTAGCTCGCTCAGTTCGACCAACTTTCTGCGGATGATCCGCTGTGAACATTTCTAATCGTGTGCCAAGCATCTTGAAGACAGAAGTCCAAAATGTTCCGGTGAAGCGAGGGTAGCTATCAGAGATTATTGCTATTGGCGACCCGTGTTAATGAAAACACGATCGATAAACAGCATAGCTGTTCCTTTCTCATTGGTATTATTTCGGCACCGCCACCAATTGAGCCGTTTTTGCTTAAAAGGTCAACAAAGATCTACAATTCCCGTATTGCCGTCACAGTCTTTGGGAAGACCAAGCAAAAAATTCATACTAATAGACTCCCAGCACCCCGTTGGCACAAGAAAATGGGCGAGTGGCGCAGCCGAGTTGCCGAGGTTTGACCCAATGTCACGTTTGCATGGGTGCACGTATGTGCTCACCCTTTTGTAGAGTTTGGGCCATCAGTAG